AGCCAGTACGTAAGGTAAGTTAGGACAAGGAAATAACCCAAAAAATATTATACAGAATATGATATGAGAATGGGCCAATGAGTAATTAGTAGTTGATTCAGGAAGAGCCTAGTCATGACTAGATAAGAAGTTAAGGACAAATCAACAAATCATGCAAGATGAATGTAGTAAACCCCAACATGGAGAATTCAGCCTTGCAGTAATGTCATTATAATACTTGAGATATATTCAAATAGGAGTCGGGGTGGTTAAAGGTACCGTATGTGTGTTACAGGGATAAAAGAAAGTGTCACTGGGAAGGCAATCAAAATATTAGTTCAGAAGCAACCCTACAAGCACAAGGGCATGGAGCTAAGCAACTACGGATAATTATAGGCATGGAAGGACATCAAAAGGTCTGTAATAAGCTCACAGTTTTACGAGGGTCAAGGGTTCTCACTAAGTACTAAAACGAAAGACTAGCTAAGGAAATAAGGAAGAAGGGTTCAACCTAAGCTGGATTACCTAAGGAGGAAATGGTCTTGTAACAACAGTCTCACAACAACATTGTATGCACTCCAAGAGAAAATGACACCTACTGTGGCTAAGCAACGGGAAGTAAAATTAGAAGTGATATTCAAGATCATATGAGTTCCATGGAATTCTAATATGCGTGGACACCAAGATAAGCTATGTATGCACGTAAGAAGGAGGCACAAAGACCAAGAAAAGTAATTGCTTACGTTTGAAGAAAGCTGAGATGGAACAAAAATAATTATTCGATTCATGATCCAGAGTTAGTTACGTTATGAACGCACTTAAGAGTTTGGAGTTTTATACATGCACCATATACAACCGTAGAAAATTCAATTATAAGTTAAAAGAAAGAACTGAGCCTAGGTCATAGACAAAGGACTGTATCATGGATATTCCTTAACACCTATGAAAGGCTTATGTAATAACTAATACCATGAACCGCATATCGGGACGTAGCTTAAGCCTTCATAAAGGCTGATCAGAAAAAGGAGGACACTAAGGAGATACATCAACAAAGTAAATCAGGAATCTGATTATTGGACCCTAAATATAATAGAAATCATGATTGAGAACATTGCCGAATCACTCTTACTATCAAAGGTACACGAGAGATAATGCAGTAGCCATATTGTATAACGGCTCTACGATAAAGCCAGTTAGAAGTGTCCCAACCTCATAAGAAGTTAGTATGAAGCTCTCACGAGATTGTGTAAAAAGGTGCATGTAATTATAATAGAAGTTCAAGACGTGGATGTGAATTATACCTATGTGGAGGGAAGGTCATGAAAGAGGTAGAAGATGTGATGTGAGGCTTTAAGGAAAGTAAGATAAAGGCAAACAATGTACGAGATACTCAAAAGCAGAAGGTTGAGAATATTCCATACTTGGGATAGAAGGCTAGAAGTGGCGGGATTCAATATCTAGGAATGATAGCAGCGACGTCAGTAGCATATCTTCCAGCCTATGGTCTAGGTATCGAAAAGCCTGATTATGAGGGTAAAGAATAGTTAGAGACAATGTGATGTCTCGCTTGATGTTCCAAAACAACATAAGAAAATCTATGGCGCAAGTAAGTTGAAGGAAGGCCGCAAATAGAATAAATAGATATGTATAGATCCCAAGCTAAATAATAGTAAATCGATAAAATTTTATGACAGGAGTAAGAACGAGAAAGGGCGAGTGAGATGGTGACGAGAACGGATACGTCCTCGGGATTAAAACCCATGAAAACAGGAAAGCTAATGGTTTCTCTAAGTTATAGAAAGTTCAGTATAGCCTGAATGAATTCAATGAAGTCTAAGACTAACAATATTCAGAAAAGATGGAATGCTGCCCTATTAATAGAATGAGTGTGTAATTATTATAGACAAAAAAATAACGTTTGGGCCTTCGATTGAGTAATGATCTGACGAATAAAAGAAAGGGATCTCATGAATACGACAGGATTAAAATATCCACACAAGGTGAATCACATTGGGATGCAGTGAGATACGGTTATGAAAGCAGGGTATCACCCCAGGTGGATCAATCTAATCATTTCAGATGTTCCCTGATAAAACACGAATCCTAGCTGCAATATTACATAAAAGGTTAAGTTATCAGGGGTGGATTATGTGTCAAAATTGAGGTGAATCAACAATGGATGGATAAAAGTTATAAAGTATAAGAGGAGATTAGGTTGTCATTCTTAAGATGAACAGTAATGTGGAAGCATTAAAGGACATAGATTTATACATATGTGATAAACAATGAAAGTAACCTGGGATTTGGTAGAAGATCTCAGTAACGAGAAGTCGAGGTAAGAGTTATGGTATATTATGACCTATATAGATGCAATAAAGTCATACGAATGGATAACCAGGTATATAAAATAAGATATAGCAATATTTGTCAAAAAAACCAAGCGAAGATCTTCAGGATTGGCTAAAAATAAGAGGAAAAAGGAGAGGAGAGTCGCATAGGCACACTTACAAGGTCAGTATCATAGAAGTTGCATGATGGGAGGTAGCAACAGTTACGATATTGGAAGGAATTCGATCACAAGTCATGGTGTGGGAAAGAGGCCTAGAGGGGTGAATGCCCTAGCCTTTAGACTTATTCACAGAACAGTTGCCTAGATGGTAAGAGGACTACTAAAGTATTCGTAAGAGCTATGAGATATGAGAATGATAAGCGCATCAGTCAACATTCGAGGACGAATGTTCCAAAGGGGGAATGATGTTACACCCCATATTTTCGTACATGAAAATACGCCATAAATAAATTAATGAGAGCCCGGAAGTGAGATGTCACGTCCCGCAGTACTATATTACGATGATATTGCACTTTGTAGTACTGTACAATGAATTTGTCGTAAGGTAATTGACATCAGTCCAAGAAAAAGATTATTTGGAGATTATAAGGATTATGCTATTTCAACCACGTAACAAGTAAATTCGTGAAGGTGAGAAGGGAAGCAAGTCAAAGAAAATGAATTTTCGTCCAAGTTTGACATGTTAGGATAAAATACGGTCCGAGCTAAAATACTCAGTATTTATAAACTAGTACCATACGAGGTACCACATGACCATAATAGTAAGGTGTGTAAGGTATGTGAAAAGTGAGTAGTATTTTAAGTAAGTGGGAATATTTCTCAATTTTACGGGTAATTGATTAATTCCGAGTAATGTGACATTACCCAATTAGCTAACAAGTGAATAAATACTTAATAAATTATACCCTAGTAATGTGGCAACATAAAATGATTCTTAGTAATTTTAAGTAATGAGGTGGCTACCTTAGAACCTTATAGGAAAGATTGATTCTGATTCCATTTCTTGGTTTTGAACTTTGAATATTTCATTCCATTTTTTGGTTTGAACATTTCAAGAACAAGAGATCAAAATCGTTCAAAACATTTTTAACAATCTCAAACGTAAATTCGTTCGAACTTTCAAAGAAACACAAACTTAATTCCATTCAAATTTTGCGATTCTAAAAGAGTACGATGCAATCTTCACCAAGAATACAATAACAACAATGACCCAGTATAATCCCACAAGTGGGATCTGGGGAGGGTAATATGTACGCAGACCTTATCTCTACCCCGAAGGGTAATCTTCACCAAGAATATTATACGAAATTTTCCCTACTCCGGGTATGTTAAGGCCATCCATTCTTTCTTTCGGAGTGGTCCAAATTATAAAGAAGAAACGAGCAAACGCACAGTTTCCATAAATTACTCTATTCATAGAAATACTAGGGGTGTCTATATTCTTGATTCCCCATGTGAATTATTATTATCTTCTGTTCATGGGCCTCAGAATAATACGCAGTTGAAAAAGTTTATCCGGAAGGAATATTGAGATTATTACGTATTTTTCATGCATTTCACCCATTTATACATGTGCATTGACCCATGACCAGTTGGCGTTATATATGCGTATATATGTAGATATATGTATATGGGATATGGAAAAAGGTTACAGCGTTATATACGCACCACCACCTGATCAGTTGGTATATGTTGATGATGTTGCCAATAGTGGCCGAGATGATATGATAGGATGCCCTCAGAGGCTAATGATGTTATGAAACATGTACCTATGCATGACATGACATTCATACGCATATGCATGATACTATAATCATTTCGTGATTTACAAAGTTATTCAAACTTACAGGTGGAGTTATCTACTATATATTTCCTCCATGTCTGTTATGTACTTATTTATATGTCTTACATACTCAATACATTATTTGTACTGACGTCCTTTTTTTGCCTGGGGACGCTGTATTTCATGCCCGCAGGTCCTGATAGACAAGTCGAGAGCCCTCAAAGTAGGCTATCAGCTCAACGGAAGATATTGGTGTGCTCCATTTTCTTCGGAGTTGCTTGTTTGGTTTGTATGAGTTAGATGTGTATTGTTTGGCATGGCGGGACTCTATCCCGACCTTTATGAAAATTATGTATTCTTAGAGGCTTGTAGACAGATGTCATGTATGTAAAAGATTGTATGGCCTTGTCGGCCTATGTCCAGTGTTCAAGTGGCCATTTTGGTCTTAAAGGCCCATATGTCTTATGTATAAGTTGACATTACCTGTTGTATTCTACCTATTTCACGGTAGCCTCTCCGGCTCAGTTATTCATGATAGTATGACATGAAAAGATACGCTATGTTGGTACTCGGTTGAGTAAGGTACTAGGTGCCTATCGCAACCCATCGGCTTGGGTCGTGAGAAATTCTTTCTCCTGGTTGTTTCTTTAGATATCTTACAATTCTAAGTGCAGCTTCCATATGAGATTTTTTAGGCTTCTATAGGAACTGACTCAATGTTTGAACATTGAAAGAGATGTCTGGTAACGTCATGGCTAAGTATAACAGTGTCATGACCCTAAATCCAGACTCGGTCGTGATGGCGCTTCTCGTGAAGACAAGGCCAGCCGACACAACACCCAATTAATTTTAAACAACTATAATAACACAATTTAAGTCATTAATATGCTAATAATTCCAAAATAAAAGTGAACTAGTACAATTTGCGGAAACCAACACAACTTTACATCGGGTGTCACTAATCATGAGCATCTAACATAAGTTTAAGAGTATGAAAGAGTTTATACAATCTATTACAGAACTAGAACAATGGAAGTAAAATAGTAGAGAGAAACACTGGGCTACGAATGCCAAGCAACTACCTAGTGGACTCCAAATTGCCTGCTGGGAGCAATCAACCTTCATTGGCGGGACCCGAAGCTCCTGAATCTGCACATAGGGTACAGGGAGTAAAGTGAGTACTCAAACTCAGTGAGTAATAAAAATAAATGAAGACTGAGTGATAATAAATCACGTAAAGCAGAACAACATGATATAAAGAGGTAGTGTAAAACCAATACAATGCAATAAAATAGTGAAATCTTATAAAAACACCTTAGTTCAGTATAAGCTTCTTTAAAACACCTTTATAACAGTTAAGTAAGTAAATAAAAAGTAGCGAGAAAAGATAAACACATAAAACTCAGCCCCTCGGGCACAATACCAACAGAAATCAGCCCCTCGGCCAATAACATGGAACAACCACAGCCCCTCGGGCTATATCACATATCTTACTAGGTACCCGCACTCACTGGGGTATACAGACTACGAGAGGGGCCCTTTATGGCCCAAGCGCAATATCAAGCCATCTCGTGGCATAATCAAATAGGCTCTCGGCCTCATATCAAGCTACCTTATCGCGTACAACTCAGGCCCTCGACCTCATAATCATAATTAGTACAACCCTGCTGCGGCGTGCAGCCCGATCCCATAATAATCCTCACAACACAGGCCCTCATCCCTACTCAGTCAAAAATCTCTAAAAGCCACTCGGGCACAGTAAAAATATGATGCTCAGCCCAAAATATCATTTAAAGTGTTAAAATAGAGTAAGCATGACTGAATTATGAAAACAGTAGACTATAGCAGGACTGAGTACAGATATAAAATCAAAAAAGTGAGGAAGTAGCAGTAAAAATCGAGTCCGTCGCATTTTGCACCCCTAATGTGTATTCTTTTTTGTGATTTGCACCCTGTCCTATGTTTTTTTACAATTTCAACCCTAACCTCTTTATTCCCTTGCAAAACAATAAAATCACCATTTATATAAATTTTTCATGAGGGCAAAATAAGAAATACAAATAATATGTCTTTTTTTTTATCGTTGGCCCAAAAGGTTTATCGTTGAAGACAAGAGTTTGGAAAGCTGCAAGGGCAACTTATGTAAGTAAGTACAGATATGAGATGTATATGCTAGAAAAGGAGGACAAAGAAGCTAGAAATTGGTTTAACGATAAACCACCCAAATTCTGGAGCAAGTCACATTTTAGAACAACAACAAAGTGTGACATGCTTTTGAATAATATTTGTGATGCATTCAATGGGACAAAACCCATTTTAAGGGCAAGGGAGAAACTTATACTTGGACTACTTGAAGGAATTAGAATATACCTGATGAAGAAACTGAACCAAAAGAGGGAAGACCTGCTCAAATACCAAGGTAATATTGTTATTGTAACTTCTCTGAAGCACAAAATATTTAACATGATCCTAACAATATTTTACTATAACAGGAAATTTATGCCCTCGAATCCGAAAACTAATAGAAAAAGTGAAGGAAGACTCAGCTACATCAATTCCTACTTGGGCTGGAAAATTTTTATTTCAAGTAAAGACCATGTATGGTGAACAATTTAGTGTAGACTTGAGTGGAAGAACCTGTTCATGCAGAGGATGGGACCTTACAGGAATCCCATGCTTACATGCAATGAGCTGCATATTCCATATAAGAGAGAATCCAGAAAATTTTATACATGATTGTTACAAGAAGACTACTCAAATGAGGATTTATGAGCCAGTCATTGCTCCAATGGATGGACCTGACATGTGGGAACCTACTGATCTACCTGACGTTAACCCTCCTAATTATGAGCCAAAGAAAAGTAAGTTGAACAAAAATAGAAGAAAAGAGCCCGATGAAATTGAAGCCTCCAAGAGAAAAGCAGTTGAGATGAAAAAACAGAGAAGAGAGAAAAAGAAAAAACAAGTTGCAACAAGTGAAATGCATGATGCTACCAAATTGAGTAAGAAAGGGAAGTTGGGGAGGTGTAGCAAGTGCTTACAAACTGGTCACAACAAAACAACTTGCAAGAAGAGTAGTAATTCCCCAAATTCAACAACTCTACCTCAAACTACTCAAACAACTCAAGATTGGTATCAAAATGCGACAAGTCCATCCCACCCAAGTAAACAAATCAATTTTGAGTCCACTTATTGGACTGGACATATAAATGAACCTTCTAAACTCAATGTATGTATGGGACTTTAAATATAGGTGATTTAGTACTTTTAGAGATAGGTAATACATTTGCGTTCTTTATTTTTTTTACAGCCAAGAAGGCCAACGGAGGATGATTCATCTCATAGGTCTGCACGAGCTCAAGTTGGCGGCGTTGTGATAAATGTTGAGAAGTATATGTGGAATGGAAAAAATTGTATTAGCTTACAAACCCTTCAAAATACAAGTGCTATAGAGAAGTCCAAGAAAAAGAGTTTTGATGTGGAAGAAAATAGAAGCAATTAGCATATGAAATTGTCAGCAAGAACAAATTTAATTTCATCACGACTTCTTTTGCTGTTTAATGGATATATCATTTATTCCTAAGAGATTCTCAATGTCAAGTTTATCATTTACCTTTACAATTTAATTTTAGTATTTGTACTCTTCGAAGCCTTTTGACTTATCTTTATTGCTTAACTATATACACCCTTATCCTATTTTCATCTCAATCAGAGAGGAACACGATCATTACACAAGAATTTACAGCAATAAAGAATAGTGCTATATTAAGTAATAGCGATTAGCAAAAACTACATTACACACGAGCCCATATACATATACATTTACATTTCGAAAAATACTAGCATCAATCTCAAACTACTGGGCTATATTTATCTTTCAATACAAAACAGAGATTCTCTAATGACTGTCCCAATTTTATTTTATTTTTTTTGCAAAAGAATAGACAGTAAAAAAGACGAACTAGCTGAATATAGAAAAACTGACCTCCGAAATGGATCCACCAGGAACGACGTGAAGAAGTAAACGGCGAAGGCTTTAACAAGGTGAAATCAGAGAAAATATGGGGCGTTTTGGAAGATTAAGCTTATAAAGATCGACGAGATGCATAAATCTTAACACCATTTCTGTTAAAGAGATATGGAAACACATCTTGGTCACTTGAGAAAATGACTGATTTATTGAGCTTGTCCATTTTAGGCGAGGTGAAAGGAAAGAGAAGATAATTGTGACTGATCATTTGCTTTGGTCTTGAGCTTGTCGATATGCTCTAGGTGATGAAGCAAAGAGAAGATTAGTATGACTATTGACTGGTCTTTGCTTTGGTAACCAAACCAACTCCTTTTTATTTAATCTCTCTTTATTTATTTTATGTCATTATTTTATTTATTTTTTATTTGCATTTCCTATTTTGCCCTCATGAAAAATTTATATAAATGGTGGTTTTATTGTTTTGCAAGGGAATAAAGAGGTTAGGGTTGAAATTGTAAAAAAAATATAGGACAGGGTGCAAATCACAAAAAAGGATACACATTAGGGGTGCAAAATGCGACAGACTCGTAAAAATCCTCTAAGGATCCAAACAGTTGGCATAAGGCCCAAATATGACATTCAGTCCAAAACATGATGGTAGCAAACAGTTTTCAATCAAATACGCGATAATACAGTCATTCGGGATGGACTAAGTCACAATCCCCAACGGTACACGACCCCACGCTCGTCATGTAGCGTGCGCGTCACATGAATATAGCACAACGATGTGAAATCCGGGGTATCATACCCTTAGGACAACATTTACAATCATTACTCACCTCTATATGGTCCAAACTCTAGCCTGCGATGCCTTTGCCTCTCGAATAGGCCTCCGTATGCTCCAAATCTAACCAAAATTAGTGCAAAACCATCAATATATGCTAAGGGAACAAAGCCCACTCGAAAGAAGTCAAATTACAACACAAATCCCGAAATTGGCCAAATCCCACCCTTGAGCTAATGGTGAGCCAATAATACCCTGCTCGAAGAATCTTTTTTGCCAGAACATACCTGGTCATATGCGGCCTGCAAACTCCGGAATGTACCTCAGTCATGATAGTCGTGGCTTGATTTGCATCGATGCACCTCAACTGCCCAAGATTTGGAGTTCTTTTGTACAAAATTCCCCCGCTCAAGAAAAATCCACTAGCCAAACGTCGAATTGTTCTCTTTTGATAACTCGTGGCTTGTATCAGATATACCCCCATCCTGATGTACTCCCTGATATCATGGAACCACGGCTCACCATCAAGTTCTTCCTCGACCACATTACAGTAGGCATGCTGATCATAAACTTGAATATGCAGAGGGCCAACATAAGATTTGTCCGGATGGTGCAACATTAATGCCAAGGTAGCCAAAGCATCGACAACCTCATTATGGATCCTTGGAATGTGCCTGAATACTATTGATCGAAACCATTGGCAAATATCATGCAAACATTGTCGATACGGTATAAGCTTTAAATCACGTGTCTCCCATTCTCCTTGAATCTGGTGCACTAGAAGGTCCGAGTCTCCCAAGACGAAGACTTCTTGGACTCCCATGTCTACAACTAACCTCAAACCCAAAATGCATGCCTCGTGCTCAGCCATGTTATTGGTACAATAGAAACGAAGTTGAGCCGTAACAGGGTAGTGATGCCCTATTTCAGAAATAAGCACGACCCTTATCTCGACACATTTCATGTTAGTGGCTCCATCAAAGAAAAGTTTCCAACCTGGTCTTTCAACCTGCTCCACCTCATCAATATGCAACACCTCTTCATCGGGAAAATAAGTCTTCAATGGTTCATATTCTTCGTCAATCAGGTTCTCGGCCAAATGATCGGCCAATGCTTGCGCTTTCATCGTCGTCCGAGTCACATATACTATGTCAAACTCTGTGAGCAAAATCTGCCACTTTGCCAATCTTCCTGTGGGCATAGCCGAGAAATGAGGTAAATAGTGTAGGACGACAAATAATGCTTCAACTTCTGTGCTACCCAAGTTAGGGCAAAACATGTCCTCTCAAGGGGAGTATACTTAACCTCAAAAGATGTGAAATTCTTACTGAGATAATAGATGGCCTGCTCTTTCCTGCCAGTGATGTCATGCTGACCCAACACACAACCAAATGAATTTTCCAGGACTGTCAAATAAAGAATCAAAGGTCTCCCGGGTTCTGGTGGGACCAGCACAGGGGGGTTCGACAAATACTTTTTGATCTTATCGAATGCTTCCTGGCACTCATCAGTCTATTTGACCGCAACATCCTTCTTTAGCAACTTAAAGATGGGCTCACAAGTTGTCATGAGCTGAGCAATAAACCTGCTGATGTAGTTCAGCTTCCCTAGTAGACTCATCACCTCGGTCTTGTTCTTTGGCGGTGGTAGTTCCTGGATAGCCTTGATTTTCGACGGATCTAACTCAATGCCTGTCGACTAACTATGAACCCCAACAGTTTAACAGATGGAACACCAAATGCACACTTTGTAGGGTTGAGCTTGAGATTGTACCTGCAGAGCCTTTGAAAAAACTTTCTCAAGTCTTTGACGTGGTCAGACTGCTTCCTAGACTTTATGATCACATCATCCACGTAGACCTCAATCTCCTTGTGTCTCATGTCGTGGAATACGGTAGTCATTGCCCTCATGTAAGTTGCCCCTGCATTTTTCAAGCCAAAAGGCATGACCCAGTAGCAATATGTTCCCCACGGCGTGATGAATGCTGTCTTTTCCGCATCTTCCTCATCCATTAAAATCTAATGATACCCCACATAGCAGTGCACAAAAGACCCAATTTCATGCTTGGCAGAATTATCAATCAAAATGTGGATATTTGGCAGTGGGAAGTTGTACTTTGGACTTGCTTTGTTGAGGTCACGGTAATCAACACACACTCTGGTCTTACCACCTTTTTTTGGCATAGGCACACCATTGGCTAACCACGTGGGATACCGCATGACTCGAATGACCTTTGCGTCAAGCTTCTTTGTGACTTCTTCTTTAATCTTCACACTCATATCAGTTTTGAACTTTCTCAACTTCTGCTTGACGGGAGGGAATGCTGGATCAATTGGCAATTTGTGGACCACCAAATCGGTACTCAAGCCTAGCATGTCATCATACGACCATGCAAAAATAACTTTATATTCAAATAATGCTTTAACTATTTCTTCCGTGATTTGTGGTTCAAGATTGACACTTATCTTAGTTTCTCTGACATTATCTGGATCCCCTTGATTGATTGCTCCTGTATCATTCAGATTAGGCTTGGGTTTTTCTTCAAAATGATTTAGTTCCCTACTAGTCTCTTCAAACGCCTCATCCTCATTATATTCTGATTTATCATCACACTCTATTTCTTAGATTATTATTTAAGAATTAGATTGACTTTTAAGACTTGGCCGAAGATTCCTCATGCATGTCATGTCATTGAAACCATCATAAAAAGAACTGTACACAGAATAAAAAAAACAAAAATAAAACCATCAGGAATGATGGAAAAGTGAAATTGCATTTCATTGAAAATAAAGGATAACAGGGTTTGTACATCAACAAGCGGAAAAAAAAAGGGTCACAACCCTGGAATGACCCAAATAGAAAGGAAAACAAAACAAACTACCAAGACACCTTCCGAGTAGGGAGAGGAGTAGCCTTCCAATTGTTAAGCTTTACATTCGGCCCAACGAATTGCACGTCCGCTTTTCTAGAACCTTCTCCAACTTCTACCATGTTCACATCATCAAACAATCTCTGGAACCTTTCAATTAACTCCTCATCAATGTCAACCACAGCACTTGGAATTGTCGTCACTGGGCGTTTCCTGGCACCGGGCTTGACAAAAGACCTGGAGAGACATAGGATAGGCTTCGGAAGTGCCCACGCCTTCTGTTTTAACCTTCTAGCCCTTTTCACATCTGCCGTTGTGGGTTTGAATCCAAGACCGAACGTACCCAAGTTTTCAGGGAGGGACTATGGCTGTATGATACCCTGCAAGGATGCACCCAGACCTTCACCTGGCACAAAAGCCATTTTCAGCATTTCGGAGGCCACCATGATGGATGCAGAGGCTATCATTGGAGTTGGAATACATTTCCTTTTTGGAACCTTCTCGACCGGCACTGTTTTAAAAAACTTGATAGACCCAAGGCCCTTTGTCATCTTCACCCTCAATAAACGGGATAGAGGCATCATTGTGGGCACACAAATTCTCCTTACCATACACGATAATCTCCTGTCTATCCCACTCGAACTTGACCATCTAGTGCAAAATGGACGGGACTGCTTTGGCAGCATGTATCCAAGGCCGACCTAACAACAAATTGTAAGAGACACCTATGTCTACTACCTGGAACTCCATGGTGAATTCCACAGGTCCTATTGTCAATTCAAGCACTATATCACCAATCGAGTCTTTTCCTCCACCGTCAAAACCTCGGACGCATATCCTATTTTTGTGAATCCTCTCATCATCAACTTTCAACTTGTTCAGAGTAGAGAGAGGGCAGATGTTTGCACTGGAACTATTGTCAACCAACACCTTGGTGACTATAGAATCTTCACATTTTACCGTAATATAGAGAGCTTTGTTGTGTTCAGTACCTTCCACAGGCAACTCGTCATCAGAGAAGGTGACCCTGTTCACCTCAGATATTTTATTGGCGATCTTTTCCAGATGGTTCACTGGAATTTTGTCGGGTACATAAGCTTCGTTTAGAATTTTCATCAGGGCCTGACGATGCTCATCTGAATGGATCAACAATGATATCAAGGAAATCTGGGCGGTCATCTTTCTCAACTGCTCCACGATAGAGTAATCTTGGACCTTCTTTTTTCTCAAGAACTCCTCCGCCTCTTCTTCAGTGACTGCTTTCTTTACTAAAACTAGATTATCTTTGGATGTTTTAGCTTTTCTTAACTCTTCTGGGACAAAGCATCTCCCCGAACGAGTTAATCCCTGGGCCTTATTGACTTCTTCTTTCACTTCCTTTCCCTTATAGGTCACTATCACCCATTAGTAGCTCCATGGGACAGCCTGGTGTTGACTACCGGCAATTGGGTTACAGGATTGATGATGACAGGGTCCGTACGGGCACCCTCTACAATTATGATAGGCTTATTTGCCAACCCTGGCACGACCATTTTTGACTTTTCTAGCTTTGCTACAGTATCACTTGGGGATCTTTTCTTAACTACCACAGAGATGGCTCACCGTTTGTCATGCTCAACTTGTTCACTGATCCTTCAACCGTTGGTTTTTGGACTGGCTTGGCCTCACTGGACCGAATCATCACGACGGACTGTGAAGGCTTCTTGGGCTCCTCCCCCTTGTGTATTATCTCGATCAT